CCGCGCCTCCTCCCCCCACACTCCCCCTTACCTGCTTCAGGCTTTCCGCGAATCAAATGTTCGCGGGAAGCAGGGGAGGGGGCAGAGTTGGGGCGGGGGGGACGTGGGCGGGGCCGGGGCGGGGCCCCCGTGGAGTGTCCTCCATTTGGAGGCACAAAATATGGTAACCCTACCATTCATGAAAGTGGGATTGGGTAGCAGTACTGCAAAGATTAATAGGCTTCAAATGGGAGCTACTTGTCTTTCCACCTATTCCATACACAGTCTATATAATTCTGTGTGTATGTGAGAGATTTGTCTTTTTTCCCCAACCAAATGGGTGGCTGGCCCAAAGAACAGTCTGCGGGAAGGGCCTCTGGAGCCAGTGAGTGGCCAGTAATGCTAAAAGAAATAAATAGCTGCACCAGCACTCAACCAGAGCAACTATCTTCATGTCACTAGTGTGCATTTTTAATAGAAAAAGAAACATTTGGAAGGGCGACAGACTTGTGTCCGGCTCCAAAGGACCGGATTGTAAACATGGTTTAAAATGCTCCTTGCCAACTTTGACAATACTCTTTTGATGCATAATGGCCCTGTGCAAGGCCACAGGAAAACAGTGGAAAAATTTAATCTAGCAAATGTGGCTCCCATGAGTCATGAAAAAATATTAGCAACTCTCATCCCCATTGCCACTTATTTCACTTTCCTAGTCTGTATTTTGTATATCAGTATTAAATCTCTGGATACCTCTACACAGCAGTTGGGAAGTGTAATTCCCAGCTTGGATAGACGAACATATGCGCACTCTGCTCAAGCTAGCATGCTAAAAATAGCAGTGTGGCCATGACATCTTGGGTTAGCCATCCGAGTCCAGTCCTCCCCCTCCCCCCTTGGCTACATATTCATGCAGCTAGCCTGAGCTGCTGCCCATGCTGCAGTGGCCACGCTGCCATTTTTAGGCAGCAGCTTGAGCAGAGCTAGTGCACAGATGGCTACCTAAGCTGAGAAGTACAGCTCACAGCTCCTGTGTAGATATACCCTTAGAACACTAAGGAGGAGCAGCAAACCCTTCTCTGGTCCCTTTTGTCCTCTTCCTCCAGCCCCTCAGGAGGAATCCCTTCCTCCTTCAGAGCTCCTGCTCCCTCCCCTGGACTAAATGAGGACCGTCTCCCTAATCTCCCTGGCAAGTGCCTGAACATCACCCCTTGCCTCCTGTGTAGCATCACATTCCCTGCCCAAATCCTCTTATGCTGCCGGCCCTGCCTCGCCAATCTCACAAGATCTCCCTAGCCAAGTATATGCCCTCAGTCCCCCAAAGGCTACGTACAAATCCTAGGAAGTTAGAAGTCATAGAGTTTAGGGCCAGAAAGGACCACTAATTCATCTAGCCTGATCTCCTGTGTATCATAGGCCACCAATACCATCCAGCTACACTACATCCACCAACCCAAATGAGACCAAACTATTACAGCCCACAGGAGATTAGACTACAGTGGAACCCCGGTTATCCAATCTAATTGGGACCAGGGTCAGATTGAATAACCAAAAATCTGGATAAACCGGAGAATGGGTGGTGGGGCTCCATCTGTTAGCCCCGCGCATGGCAGGGCTTGGGCTGTTGCCATGCCCACAGCTGACAGCCCAAACCTCAGCTGCCAGGGGCTGAGAGCCTGAGCCCTGCCACTGTCAGCCCTGGGCAGCTGGTGGTTTGGTTAATACAGACAGCCAGATAATGGAGGCACAGATAAATGAGGTCCTACTTTATTATGTGCCACAGATGTAACCAGTGCCCAAAGCCCCCATGATGGCAAATGATTAAGTGAGATATACCCAGATAATCCTGGCAAGTGATTAGCACCCACACACTGCAGAGTCATTCCCAATCTGCTCTGGGGGAAAATTCCTTCACAACTCCACATATGGGTGATTGGTTAGAAGACCCTGAGGATGTGAGCAAGAACCAGTCAGCCAACCACCTGAGAGAGAGAATGTGCAGTGCCACCTCAGACCTCTGTCCAATGTCCCATCTCCATCTCTGGCCATCCCTGAGGTGTTAAACCCTTCAGCCCTCCTCTCCGCTGAAGTTGTGTGGTGGGACTGTTTGAGGGGGAGCCCAGACTGAATAGCTCCACATGGGGACCTTAGCATTCCGTGTGTACTGGGGGTGGGAGGTGGGGGTTCAACACCAGCAATGGGGTCCACAACTGTGCAGCTCTAATGGCTAGACATCCTGCTGGTGTACATTTATTGGAGGGGTGGAAAAAGGGTAGTGTTTGTTCAAGTGAAAGAAAAATTACCTTTTGGATATGTTGGTCGAAGCCAGAAAATAGGAAGATCGCCACAAAGCTCTAAAATTTGGGGACTTAGGAAGCTGTTATCCTTTACAGGCTGATCTGCAGCCACCCAGATAAGGGAATTTTCATCAAATTTAACTGGCATAATTTCATCTTCCTGTAAGTAGGCAGCATAAAATCCATTGTTAATTCAATGAACAGGGGTCCTGTGTATTCTGTAGATGCAGCTTTCTGTTAATAGCCAAATGCCAAACACAGAAGCTTCGCTTGGAACTGATATGAAATGTTGTTCCAAACAGTGCTATTTTGTTTCGTGTAGTACACGCCCCAGCCAAATCTTGTTCCAATTGAAATCAATGGAAAGACTCCTGGGGTGAAATTCTGTCACCACTACAATCAATTGCAAAACTACCAGGATTTCACCTCCGCTGTCTTTAATGGGGCTAATAGTCAGCCCATAGGACCGGATTCTCAGCTGGTGTACATTGGTGTAGATCCACTGACTTCAGAACAACTATATTGATTTATACCAGCTAAGAATTTGGCCCATAAATTTTGGGTATGTTTGCTTGCGTTGTTCTGAATTCATATAAATGTTAGGGCACTTCCATAATAGACATATTCCTGAGAGTTAGTGAAATTTTTTGCGTACAGCTACAATTTTAAGTTAACATGATGGGTCTGACTAAAGGTCTTGTTCAATAATAGCAATTCAATTGCCCAAAAGCTAGAAGTTAAAGAAGCCCTCATTTTGAAGTGTACCCTGCAGGTTTTGGGTTCATATCTTCAAAGTAATGTAGGAAAATGCCAGTGATTTATTCTTTATACTTTTTAGTTCAAAGTATTATTTTACATAAAACATGTTAGCTATTTCTTAGCAGCAGTGAAACATCTTTAAAAAGTCTTGTTCATCAAGAAAATCAATATGATTTTGAAGTAAAACTTCTGAATTCCCTCCATATAAGTATCTGATATTTGAATTGATAACCCACTAGATCAATTTATTTTGCCAAGTTGTTCCTTTAATGTATTTATTGATTTTTGTAGAATGTCTTGAGTCATCTAAATTCACTATCCAGTGAGAGCAGCACATCATTTATATTCTCCCATTTGGGCTTTTGCCAGCATCTGAAATAACTTAACTGCAGCTAACATTTGAAGATAAAAAGAATCCAGTTGTTTATCTTAAATGAAATTACCCCAAATTTGTGGGCAAATGTACTTTAGGTAGCTATACATTTACTTTAATTTACCATTTTGTAGTCAGTGTTGGTCATGATCAAGTATGTATTAGACCAGAAACAAGTTAATTAATTTTTTTTTACTATAAATAAATTAAAAAAGACTAATGCAACAATACGGTTGCACACTTAATCAGAAAAATTAGGCAGCAAAAAAGCTTAATGTTCTAACAGTAGCATTAAGTTGCCCATCCCATCTATTTGATTCATGTTTTATGACAGAAACAGCAAAATTAATATAATACATCAATATATGGAGATATCCTATCTCCTAAAACTGGAAGGGACCCCAAAAGGTCATCAAGTCCAGCCCCCTGCCTTCACTAGCAGGACGAAGTACTGATTTTGCCCCAGATCCCTAAGTGGTCCCCTTAAGGATTGAACTCACCACTCTGGGTTTAGCAGGCCAATGCTCAAACCACTGAGCTACTCCTCCCCCCAAATTATACAGAAAGCAGGAACAGAACAAACTACACATCTGTAATGTGACCAAGTTAATATTGAATTGGAACCTTAACTTTGCAAACCTGATTCCAAATATTTTTCAACAGTGGAAATTTAATACTGGATGAATGTAACATCCTTTTATTTTTAATAAAAAGAAAAATTGCCTGTGCTTAATTATGTTAAATTATTCCAATTAGGCCATGCAGTCCATATATCCTTAAAATAACGAGGGAGGGTAGAGACTATCTCAGTACCTACCTCTGGGGGCTGATCCAAAGCCTGCTGAAGTCACTGGAAATATTCCCACTGACTTCAGTGCACTTTGGATCTGACCCGTGGCACTTTCCCTGTTGGTTTTAGAGAGTTTTCTCTTTCTTTTTTTAAGTAAACGAGTATGTATTACTGCATATTCTAGATTACAGCAAATAGGCAGAGTTGGGACATCCTCATTTTGGAGGTTCTGCAATTTTTGTACACCATGATTTTCTCCTCTCCTGATGACGAGGCAGGAGTTTTGGTTGAGGGATGATTTTCTGTGAGTCTCAGCTAGACATTTACAGTCTCTCTCATGCAACCCATCCCAGCAACAGTAGAAGCAATGCCCATCAGTGCCTGCCGGAAGCACTCCCTCCTCCCTTCCAGGACCCCAAAAGACCTACTAGATCATTTGATATTTTTAAGTATTTTAAAAAAATTGCTCCCTACCAGATCAAACGAGAGGCTTTCTTTAGTCATGGCATTGACATCAGGGATGTGAGCTTTAGCTTGTGCTTTAATGTAGCATTTCTCTCCTCCAGCAAAACGGATTCCAGTTATGCCCTACAAAATAGACCTTTTATGGTTACATGCATGGACATGTCACCCAATTGCTTAAAGAAAAACCCCAATATAAACTCTGTTCACGTAACATTAAGGTATTCACTGAATTTGGGGACTTCAGAGTTCCTGGTTTTTAAAAAAACAACCACAAACTGACAATAAAACATGATTTTTGATTTTTTAAAAATCAGAGTCAACTCAGAAATTGACCCAAATTCTGTTGTATCACTATTTTAGGTGTAAAAGTTTAAACAAACCAGGTGAAATTTTAATCTTGAGTTCCTAAATGAAGGCACCTAATTTAGGCACCCAAAGAAGTGGCCCGAGTTTCAGAGGTGCTGAGCATCTGCAACTTCTATTGGAGAGGGCCTGTCTAACCTAGGAAAAAAGGAGTTAGCCAACATGATTTGACACATCACTTAGCACCTAATATTGACGCAGTTTAACATCCTTAAAATCATGTTAGCCATTTGTGTTGTAACCTAGTAACTTTTTCCTAGTCTAGACAGACCTCTGGACTTACCTCTGACCTGATTTTCATATCTTTAATAGTAGGTGCCACAGATATGGATGTATGTGCCTAAGTTTAGACATATAACTTTGATATTTTTATCTATACCGTGATGCTTTTTATGCACAGAAGTTCATAATGAAATGAGAACCAAGACAGAATTCCAGTGTTGTTGTAATAACTGTTTCTAATCCTAAATAAATGACCCAAAAAGTCCCTGTATTTTAAACATATTGACATTAGAGACCATTCATTGATATATGGTAACTACAGGGTAGCCTTTCTTAAGTCTTCTCCCTCCAATTCAAATGTAGAATTTTCTGTGCTGCCATGTGGGTTTGATTCTCCCTACAGGACACAGAGAGCCTCCCCTTTTAATTTCAGCAATTGTCTTGTCCTATCCACCATTTTGTTCTACTTCGCTTCAGAGGAAATAGTTGAACAGATCTTTATGTACAAGCTACAGCATGAGAGGGGCCCTTCTGCTGACTATTGATGGATATATACAATGTCACTGGGGTAATTCTTTTTTACCTTCCTGTCACCCATGATGCAGGCTGTTTTCGTAAAATGGTCACCCTGGCCTTGTTCAATGGTCCTGCTCCAATGATCACTTAAAATATGGAGACTTTCTTTACCTTAGTGATATAGATAACCTAGCCATCTCCATGTCACAGCTCTGCCTAGCTTAGAACTCTATTGCTGCAAATGTGTAAATAAGAACTCTAGGATAAGCTGGCATGTGAACCTAGTGTATATGGCATTTGCCACAGGTACTTTATCTCCTGGGTATTCTTTCCAGCTTACACTTCTTGTAGGCTCAAAACCTAACGGGCTTGGTCCATTTGCTTTCCTGGAGCTTGACCCTTGGCCCTCAATAACCGAAGGCAGGTATTTTTTTGTGCTAGTTTTTTCCCCCACACTCATCAACCTAGATGCACAACACATTGTCACAATTGCTCTGGTCTGTGGTGGGTTTTTTTAGCTGCACTTACCCAGCAGCTCATATTTGTCATGAGGGTCCAAGGATGGAAGAATTCATGGACTCTCCACTGAGCTGGGGCTTCTGTGCAGATATGGAATAGTGAAGGCAAATGACAAGAGGCTTATCATCAGCGTTTTAATATAGTTGCCAACAAAGTTGTAAGGTTGATGTTACCACAAGTTTCACAAGGGGCTGAAGAGCAGCTTTCAGATGATGTGGGGGTTATGCATCCCACGTGTGTGTGCATGGCTCTCCCTGGGCCTGTGCTAAAGCAGGGAGACCCAGTTACCTCCGCCTTGTTCATGGAACCAACAGGTGGGGAGGGGCAGGGCCAGAAAAGCCTACATTGCTTCCCTCACCAACCCTCCCTGGAGGTAATGGTTTCTTTTGTTCTAGATGCTGCCTTTACCTCTCTTAGGGCTCAACCTTGCTCCCTTTGAAGTCAATAGGAGTTTTGCCATTGACTTCAATAGGTGTAGGACTGGGCCCCTTCTTAGGCAATTGTTTGCACGGCAATTAAAAACCCATGGTTGGCCCGGGACAGCTGACTTGGGCTCGGGCTAAGGAGCTGTTTAGCTGCGGTGTAGATGTTCGGGTGCGGGCTGCAGCCTGAGGTCTGGGACCGTCCCACCTCACAGGGCTCCTAGAGCCTGTGCTCGAGCCCGAGCGTCTACATCGCAATTAAACAGCCCCTCACCCGGAACCTGAATCAACTGATACAGGCCAGCCATGGGGTTTTAATGGCAGTGTAGACATATCTTTAGAATCCAACACTGGAAAATGCCTTACCTGCAAGACCTGTCAAATGTACTTACTATCTGGAAATCATGAACTTCTATAGCCTCTTCATTTCCACTTCCAGTTTTAAAGGTCTCTAGGTTGTTCCCAGAATCTATTTCCATTGATCCCTCTTGTAATTTTCCATTAATACTCATAGTATAATGGACATTGTAAATCTGTAATTGAATAAAGAACATTAGCATGCATTTTTGTATCTTCCTAGCTTTTATCAAGAACAAGTCTGGTGCCAATCTGATTGTCATGTCCCTCTTCAAGTTACTGGCTTTTATCCATACACTTTTATCCTTACACTTTTATTACAGAATCCCCAGCAGTCAAGACCATACTAATAAAACAGACGTTGATGGTTTCAGGCAATATCAGTCCTGACAGCTTTACATCCATACGCACTGAATGTAGAATAATTTGGTTCCAAGGTTACATGGGGTTTAGGAACTGTCTAAATCATATTGGATGGGAGGATCAGAAAGAGCTGATTTCCCCCAGAGGGCATCCCCATTGTACCCCTCAGTTTGATCTGTTGGAACTCACTCTTGCTTGGAGAAGTTTGATACTGTATAGGTACTTAGAAAGAGAGTCTCTTGAATGTAGCAAGCTGCATGTGGTTGACTCTGAGTGGGGTGAGCTTTGTTTAAATATCAATACTTCCATAAATACCAACACAAGGAGTTTACTTATATTCTTAAAAAGTCTGTATATAAACAGTTTGAATAAAATTCACAATATAGTCTAGAAATCAATTTTTTCTGCTTGCAACTCTTTGTTAGGGAAAAATGCTAAAGGTAATTGATTGTCTTTTACAAATAGAGACTCAATCCTGTATTATTCATACATCCAAGACTTCCACTGAATTCTTCCATGAGGAATGCAAGACTTGGCCTATATAGATAGTACTTAATTCCATATCTAAAGTATATAGACTGAGCTGGTATAAGATGATAACACTTTTATGTAAGCCCCATTCGTTGCAGTAGAATTCAAGTTTTTTTTTTATTTTAAAAAAATCGTAAGTCTTGTGGTTGCAAAGAAAACCTTCCAAATGTGAATCAACAAAGCGTTGCCTTCCTGAGTCTGAGGGCAGTCTGAAACAATAGCTTAGTGTCCCCATGCTTCTCAATTGGGTGTTGACTCTGCAGCTTAAGGTTGACATTTTATCTATTTCTGTACCAATCAGAATACACTCTACTCTTTTTTAAAAAAAGATTCAGTTCTTAAATGATGGCATTACTACCAGCTTCCTGAGATGGGAAAAGAAACCCACTTACTAATAAGATATTTGTAATGCATCTATTTGAACAAAAAGCACATATACACTAAAATAATGCAAGTGTTGCGAAACTAAACAGACCAAAAAATGAGACTCTGTCCTATGATTGATCTCCTATCTATTTATAAAAACCATCAGTGCAAACTGGACTATACACCATACACATTCTTTGGCCAATCTACCCATTCAGGCTCCTCTCCCTTTTCAAAAGCCTAGAAAAGCAAATGAGTCTTGCACTGTGTCTTGAAGCAGCCTATCTTCTTACTACGTATAGGAAAAGCTGTGTTATCCGGCATGTTGGGGGAATGGGGGGTGCCGGTTAGTCAAAAATTCCAGTTAACTAAGAGTTATACTTACCAATGGAGGGAGGGAGTTTGGGTGCAGGAGGGGACTCAGGGGTTGAGACACGGGAGGGGTTTTGGGGTGCTGGATCTGGGCAGCGCTCACCTCGGGCAGCTCCCCGCAAGCAGCAACATGTCCCTGCTGCTCCTAGGCGGAGGCGCGGCCAGGCGGTTCTGTGTGCTGCCTTGGCACGCAGGTGCTGCCCATGCAGCTCCCGTTGGCCTCGGTTCCCAGCCAATGGGAGCTGCGGAGCCAGCGCTCAGGGTGGGGCGGGGCAGAGACAGTGCACAGAGCCACTGTGGCTGTTCCTCTGCCTAGGAACAGCAGGGATATATTGCCGCTTCCAGAGAGCCACGCAGACAGCGGCGGCTCCAGGCACCAGCGCTCCAAGCGCGTGCCTGGGGCAGCAAGCTGCGGGGGGCGCCCTGCCAGTCCCTGCGAGGGCGGCAGTCAGGCAGCCTTCGGCGGCTTGCCTGCAGGAGGTCCGCCGGTCCCACGGATTTGGTGGCAATTCGGCGGCGGGTACGCCGAAACCGCGGGACCGGCGGACCTCCTGCAGGCATGCTGCCGAATCCGCGGGACCGGGGACCTCCCGCAGGCATGTCGCCAAAGGCAGCCTGCCTGCCATGCTTGGGGTGGCAAAAAAGCTAGAGCCGCCCCTGCACGCGGAGTCAGGTAGGGAGCCTGCCGGCCCCGAGCCAACCGGACACCTAGCAACTCTATTAAAGATTTGTATTGGGAGATATCAGAAATGCTGGTTTCTAGAGCTTTACAGTTGGTAAAGTGCTGGATAACATAACTTTTACTGTAACTTTTTTCTTTTCTCTCTGGATTTTGGGTTTGCTATAAATTGTCTTTAAAAAATAATTAAATGTCAAGCAGTTGTACCCTGCAGGCTAAAATATATATCAGATTGAAACACTTTACCTATAAATTAAGGGACCGATTCTGCACTCCTTACTCAGACAAGGCTCCTGCTGAAGTAAATAGGAGTTTTGCTTGAGCCAGGAGTGCAGAATAGGCTCCTTGGCAAATTCAATGAGACTCATTCTTCTTGTCACTGATGAGCAAATGAAACTCAAATTCACATAATCTGGCATTTCATATTATAAAAATCTTTAAAAACATAAAGGAAAGATAATATTTAAAATTACTCTGATGATCACTATACCTTGAAAGTTTGCTTCTTTAAACTAAAACCCTAGTTTCCATCTCTGTCCCTTTTGATGCAGTATTTTGTCATGTAACCTAAATTCAGAAAAGTTCTCTCCGCCCAAATATAAGTTATCAAGATTTTTAAAATCATTTTGCAACTAATATACTATGAGCTCGTGTCCATGTTCAGCACACATTTAAACTACTAGGTACATAGTGAAATAATTTTGGTCCTTAATCAAACCTATGAATAGACTAAATATAGCCTGGTGCACCACATATTTAACTGTCAAAGTATGATCTGCAATCAGCATTTGGATGACGTGGCATTTCTTTCACCACCATTTTGTCCTGATGCTTGGAATTTGCTTATTATGTGAATCTCCTGGGAAAGAATGGGGGGAAACAGTGAATGCGTTGAAGATTTATGAGCAAAATAAATGTAGCTTTTGTCTGTGATCCCAAGGATACACTTTATGTTTATTCCTAAAATCAGCTTCCATCATGCTACACCAAATGGACAGGAAAGAATTTTTATACTGAGGTATGGGGGGTGGGGGTGGGGAAGGTATGCTACTTACAGAACTTGGCAACCAATCGAGAAAGGTTTCCAGTGTGATTGTGAGTCTCATTAAATTCAAGCAGTTAATTTAAAAATTGGTTTAATAGAAAAATGTTTCCAAAATGTAAATACTTGGGTTCATAATTCTTGTCTTTGTTTCACTCAGTTCATCCCGGACCTGACTTTAAACCAGATTAAAAAACTTCCATGAAACAATATGTTCTTACAAGACGAGTCCCTTCCAACTCTGACATTCTATGATATGACAAACTATCCTGCTTGGTAAACAGGTGAGTTTACTGTTGGAATTGACACCTCCTGCCCACCTTTGTTTAATTATTGCCTGTTCCAGTTAGCAATACTCTAAGTAGGTGACCCAGTTTCCACTACTCCAAGATTGAGCTTTCTGATTGTTGTTCCCCTATATTTTCTATGCTCCAACCACTTCAGAATATTTACCAAGCATTCTGGATGGCAGGTGGGGGAAGAATGGCTTGTTTAGAATTCTGATCGTGTTTTGTAGCTAAACGTTCTGGATCTTGACTCTCAAACTGAGCAAGAGTATAGCCCAGCCGCTGGCACACGTCTTAAACTAGCCACAGATGCGCTAGACCCGTGTTTCTCAACCTTTTTGGTAACAGGGACCAACTTGCTGCCTTCCTAAATTGCCAGGGAGATTTCAGGGACCAGCGCTTGACTGGTCCTTGAGCAGCACTGCCACAGCCAACTTTCCCCACAAGCTCCTCTGCAGGCTGCTACCCAGGGACTCCCTCCCCCCAGCCATTGTGCGGGCTGTTGTCCTGCTCACTCCCGCGAGGGGTGCCTGGGGGTAGCTTTTCACAGCGGTGCAGCCAGAGGAACCACTGAGCCCCGCCGGACCCTCAACCAAGGAACCTGCGGCCGGCTCGCCATCAGGCCCGCCTCCCCTGCGCCCCGCGCCAGCCACTCACGTGCCGGTCGCTCCCCTTCCAGAAGTAGAAGGCGCCGATGGCTCCGCACAGGAGCAGCAGGGCTCCGGCGATGAGCACCACGGCCCCGATCTTCAGCAGCCGCCCGGGGCTGGAGGGTTTCACCGGCACCGCCGTGTAGGCCTGCAGCAAAGGGGGACAGGCAGCCCAGGAGTCCGCTCGCCTCAGAGCCCAGCTGCCCCCCGAGCTCAGCCCCGCGCCGGGCGGGCGAGGAAAGCAGCAACACCCCCCCCCCCTAGCCGCGCGGTGCTGGCACTTGGCGCCAGCCCCTGCCGGACCCCACCGCACCCCGCCGCTTTCCCGCCCTCCCCAGAGCGGTGACCTGCCCCGCGAGGCCGCTGGGGCTGAGCGCGGGGAGCGGCGGCGGGACTCTCTCTGCCCCGGTACTTACCGGCGGCAGGCTCCGCTCCACGTCCTCCGGCCCCGCCAGGGCGATGGGCACTTTCTCCGCGCTCTCGGCCATGGCTGCCCGCGCACGTCTGGACCCGGAGCTCCTGTGGCCCCAGCGGGCGAAGCACGGCCAGGCTCGGCTGCACACAGCCCCTCCCCGCCCCCAGGCGCGCCTCCCCGCCCCAGCCGCAGCGCCAGGCTGGGGATACAATGGTCCCCTTTGAACGCTGCTGCCCTGCGGGGCCGGAGCGACCGGCCTCAACCCGAGCAGGGTTTCAATCAACTCCCGGGGCCCCAGGCTGCTGCCGCCCGCCGGGCAGCGTAACTCTGCGCGCGGAGGGGAAAGCCACTAAAGTGTGGGTGTGTTGGCCGGCACTGCAGGTGCTATCTGGGGCCCGCTCAGAGCTGGCCCGCCTCCCAGTGCCCAGCCCATTGGGGGCCCTAAGCAGGAATATGTTAGACCCCCCCCCCACCACACACACAACACATACTAATAATTAACAGGGGGCCCCTTGAGCTGCTTGGAGTCCTAAGCAATTGCTTAGTCTGCTTATGCCTGGTGCCTGCTGTGCCACCTGCGGCTGCTTGGCAATCCTCAGCAGTGGAGAAACCTTAGGATTTCACACCTTTGGGGGGCTCCTTGAGCAGCTGCCCAGAGCCCGAGGTAGGATGACCCTGCCTAGGCTGTGCCCGTCCTCTCAGCTCCTGGATTCGGTGACATGGAAACGGGGAAGAGGAATGGGGGGAGAAATGATCAAAAGGAAAGAGGTTTCAGAGTAGCAGCCGTGTTAGTCTGTATCCGCAAAAAGAACAGGAGTACTTGTGGCACCTTAGAGACTAACAGGTGGGTGAAAGCTCCTCAAGATCTTGGGTAGCTCCATGGGTGAAGGGAAGCTGAGCCCTCTTCACCTCTCTGGAAGACAATGGTTATTGGTAAGGGTAAGATTTTGTCATGGTTATTTTTAGCAAAAGTCCAGGGTAGGTCACGGGCAATGAACAAAAATTCACGGAAGCCATTGACCTGTCCCAGACTTTTACTAAAATTAATTGACAAAATGGGTCTGATGCAGGGAAGAGAGCCCAAGCCCTGCTGTGGAAGGAGAGTGGGGGGTGGTCCAGCACCCACCAACTCTGGCTGACAGCTCTGCAGTTCCCCTGCTGCCTGCGGTGACTGGAGCTGCGGAGGCCCACGCCATGGCTCAGAGCATTGGGTACCCCCGGCTGCCTGCAGCAGCTGAGAGCTGAGGTCTCTGGAAGTCATGGAATCTGTGACCTCAATAGTTACTGGTAAATAAGTTAGGGAGAATGAGAAGCAGAGTCTGGAAGAAAATGGAAACTAGTGCAGAGATTCAAGCTATATGTGACGTGACTGTGGTCTGCCCTTCCGTGGCTGTGGTTTGGATGGAGTGTTGTGGTGTGGGGAGAGAGGAGTTTTTATACTGACACACAATAGGGTTTCAAGGTAAATGCTAATGAGCCAGATCCTCAAATGGTGTAAATCAATGCGGCTCCATTGACTCCAGAAAATGTTTTGTGCCAGACCAACCTGATCTCTTTCTTTGAGAAAATAACTGATTTTTTAGGCAAAGGAAATGCAGTAGATCTCATCTACCTAGATTTCAGTAAGGCACAGGATATAGTTCCACATGGGAAATTATTAGTTAAATTGGAGAAGATGGGGATTAATATATGAGAATGGAAAAGTGGACAAAGAACTGGTTAAAGGGGAGACTACACCAGGTCATACAGCAAGGTGAACTAGCAGGCTGGAGGGAGGTTACTAGTGAAGTTCCTCAGGGATCAATCTTGAGACCACTTATTTAACATTTAACATTTTCATTAATGACATTGGCACAAACAGTGGGAATGTCTTAAAGCCTTGGCGCCTAAACATCTAGACAGCAATGAAATAGCCCCTCAGACCCAGCCCCGTGAGCTCAAGTCAGCTGGCATGGGCCAGCTGCAGGTGTCTACTTGCTGTGTAGACATACCCTGTATCTTTTCTCTCTCGCTCTCTCTCCCCCCCTCCCCACACCCCCATTCTGTTGAATGTGGAAAAATAAATAGTATTTGACAACTTAGATATTAGTATCATTAAACACAAGCCCATGGCCAGTGCAAAGTGTCCCTCACAGAGCCAGACACAAACAAAAGCAGTTTCAGAAGGAGCCAGATTTAAAAGAGATCACAAATTGGAAACTCTGGAACAGGGATCGGCAACCTTTGGCACACGGCCCATCAGGGAAATCCGCTGGCGGGCCGGGACGGTTTGTTTACCTGCAGCGTCCGCAGGTTCGGCTGATTGCAGCTCCCACTGGCCGCGGTTCGCCGTTCCAGGCCAATGGGGGCTGCAGGAAGCGGTGCAGGCCAAGGGATGTGGCAAAGTTACAGCGGACTGGCCAAGGGACTAGCAAAGTTACAGCGCCGGCAGTTACAGCGCCGCTCAGAGAGCGCAGAAGAAAATCTGCTGTTTTGTGTTCACACTGACAGCTACCTGCGCAATAGCGTATTCACACTTGCAGCACTATTTGGAACAGTGCACTCTGGGCAGCTATCCCACAGAGCACCTCTTTCTCTTTTGCCACTAAGACTTGTGGGAAGGTGGAGGGGGTCGCAGGACATCCTGGGTCCAGTCCCAATGCCCCATGATGCATTGCTTCGCATCCCAGCAAACCCTGTGCTTCTGTCCACATTTGGCGCCATCTTTCAACGGTTTGTGTACTGTGCGCCCTGCCTCTTTCAGGCTGCAGGAATGGATCCCGAACTGCTGACCAGTATGCTGCTCGCTCTGACCAACATGTCACGAGTGTCAGTGGAGTTATTCTGTAAACTACAAAGTCAAGAGGAGTGTGACGATCTTACCACGCATAGTAGCTATGACACGAGATTGCTTGTGGCTTTCACAGAAGTGCTGACCACAGTGGAATGCCACTATTGGGTTTGGGAAACAAGCACTGAGTGGTTGGATCACATCGTGATGCACGTCTGGGATGACGAGCAGTGGCTGCAGAACTTTTGCATGAGAAAAGCCACATTCATGGGACTGTGTGATGAGCTTGCCCCAGCCCTGTGGCACAAGGCCAAGAGAATGAGAGGTGCCCTGTCATTGGAGAAGCATGTGGCGATTGCGCTGTGGAAACTGGCTACTCCAGACTGCTACCAATCGGTCGCTAACCAGTTCAGAGTGGGAAAGTCGACTGTTGGACTCGTGTTGATGGAAGTGTGCAGGGCCATTAATCGCATCCTGCTCCGAAAGACCATGACTCTGGACAACGTGCGTGACATTGTGGATGGCTTTGTACAAATGGGCTTCCCTAACTGCAGAGGGGTGCTAGATGGCTCACACATTCCAATTCCGGCACTAGACCACATAGCCACTGAGTACATTAATCGCAAGGGGTATTTCTCAATGGTTCTCCAGGCGCTTGTGGATCACCGTGGACGTTTCACTGGCATTAGCGCAGGCTGGTCCAGAAAGGTGCATGACGTACGCATCTTTCGGAACACTGGCCTGTTCAAGAAGCTGCAAGCAGGGACTTTCTTCCCGGACCAGAAGATCACGATAGGGGAAGTCAAAATGCCCATTGTGATCCTTTGAGACCCCACCTACTCCTTAATGCTGTGTCTTATGAAGCCCTACACAGGGCAACTTGACAGCAGCAAGGAGCGGTTCAACAACAGGCTGAGTAAGTGCAGAATAACCGTTGAGTGTGCTTTTGGCCATTTAAAAGCCCACTGGTGCTGCCTCTATGGAAGCTGGACCTGGCCAATGACAATATACCTATGCTTATAGCTGCGTGCTGTACAATCCATAATATTTGTGAAGGGAAGGGTGAAAGCTTCACTCAGGGCTGGACCACAGAGGCTCAGAGCCTGGAGGCTGAGTTTGAACAGCCAGAGACCAGGGCTATTAGAGGGGTGCAGCGCATGGCCATAAGGATCAGGGATGCCTTGAGGCAGAAATTTGAGGCTGAAAGCCACTAATATTTGTTGCTATGCTCGGGATTGCAGTGCTTGTAATGCTAGGAGGTAATTGGTGGCACATGATGCAAGAAGGGGCCTTAACATAATTGTATGGGGATGGGGGATGGGGGAAGAAAAGGTATCAAGAGGAGGAGGGGTCCTGTGATGGCTACAGAATTGTGTACATCCAAGGATCATACCCAACCTTCTCATTTGGAGTACAATACAGTGGGTGCTGTACTTCAGCAGGGCCAAACTCAGAGGGATGGGTGTTGAGTGCAGTGGGTAGTGGGAGTCCACACTGCTGGATTGTGAGGAGGGAGGAGTGGAATGCTGCAGGTGGAGAGTGGAGCCAGGAGTTTGATAACAGTGTCTTGGCGCGGGGGTGCAGGTGGGACAGTGGGGAACGCATGGGAAACAGTTTTGTGACAGTGGCTGCAGGGGAGCTGAGCTCGGAGCGCGGAACTGCTCGGTTTGAAGAACTAGTATCGCCTGGAGCATGTCCACTTGGTGCTCCATAACGTTTAAGAGCCACTCCATGGCTTCTTTCTGGTGTGCTGCGTTTTCCTTATTGTCCCTCTTCTCACTGTCCCTCCACTCCTTCAATTTCTGTTTCTCAGTGGCGGAGTGCATCATAACCTCACGGAAAAAGTCCTCCTTAGTTCTTAGTTCTTCATGGCCACTTTCTTATTCTGCGCAACCGTTCTGCTGCTGATAAGGAAGGCTGGCCTCCCAAGGTCATCCCTGTGAAATTTAAATGCAATATTTTACAGAAGCAGTATTGTTTGCAACACACAGACCACTGATTCAGTGATTTAAAACACAGCCACTATTCACATACCTATCAGCAACCAGCTGACCCCAGGCAAGCACACATGAGCCATAAGACCCCCAAAATGGTGAGTAGCCGCAGGGATCACTCTTCCCGGACCCTGCTGTACACTGGGCATGTGGCTCTTCAGGAGAGCCAGCACTGTAGGGGGGGCTTGATAATCATTCCTGTCCCCACACTTTCCACAGGATGTGATCATTATGGAAGTTATCTCACTGCTGAGGGTGAGCAGGGAATCAAGGGAGGGTCCTCTCCAAGCCTGCAGCTTCCATCCTGGAACCTGCAGCCGCGGATTTCCCAGTATCTCTACGAGAGTTTCCTGGAGATCTCTGAGGGAGATTCCCGTGAAGTGAGGGAGTCTATCAACAGTCTTTTCCACTGCTCAGAATAGGCATGCAGTGGGAGACAAGCCTGATTTCTGCAACCTTCCTGCCCCCCACAAATCACTTCAGCAATTCCCAAAATCAGATCCCTTACTAGGGGCCTTCTCTCCTGTTTGCGCTTCACCAAGATCCGACTGCTGTGACTGGCTAGGCTCCTCCAAGGTAGA